AAATCCAGTCAGCCAAAGCCACATTTGAAATAGACACTCCCCCAATCCTTACTCTAGGCACATATAAATTTTTTAAAGTAAAAATAAGACAGTACTATATATGCTGCTTTGTAATCTTTTTTTCATTTAATAAGATACACTGAATGCCTTTCTAACATTCTTCTCTGCCCTTTAGGATAGATGTATGCTACTGCATGGATATAGCATATTTTATTAAACCAACTGCCTACTATCAGACATTTAGGATGTTCAAATTTTTTTGCTATTATCAACAATGTCACTGTGATAAGAGTATTTATTCATATCTTTGCACATGTCTCATGATTATTTCCTTAGGAGGATAAATTCCTAGAAGTAGAATCCTGAACCCTAACATAATCTAAATAAAATTATAAACAGTTAAGCCTATTATAATAGAGTATTGCACCAGGCCAAATCCCAACAGAGCAAGAGCAATCTGCACATTCTACTACTAGCAATACAGATTTGTAGGGCCTTGTTTAGATCAACCCTCTAACATATATGCTTCCCGATTAACAGCAAATTCACAAATAAAAAAACCACCATACTGGGCCGGCCGAATGGCTCAGTTGGTTAAGAGCTCGCTCAAGAATGTGAGTTCTGGGCCAGTCGAGTGGCGCGTTGCTTAAGAGCTGGCTTGGGACGCCAGAGGGCCCCGGTTCAGATCCCACATGAGAGCCAGTGACACTGCCCTCTACAGCTAAGATGCTGAACAATAGCTCAACCTGGAGCTGGGCTGCCGTGAGTCGCTGGTGACGGCGTAGGCTGCAGCCCCTGCTGCAGTGGGCTGCCTTGAGCTACTGTGAGTGGCCAGCAGCCAGCATGAGCTGCCGTAAGCCACCATGAGCAGCGGTCCAATGGCCGGTGAGAGACTGCCTCACCCAGGAAGAGCGCAATGATCATAATACCAACATGGGCCAGTGAAGCGATGTCCTCCACAACTAGACTGAAGAACAAGGACAGCAATTTGTTCCCCTTCCCCGATTCTCCAACGCTGTTCCCCTCCCCCAATAAAATCTTTAAAAAAAAATTCAACCAGTGAAATAAATATTATCTACTGAATGCCAAAATAAATCAATACCTCTTTAGCAAATTCATTGTTTAAAAGCAAAGGTCATGACTGAAAAAAAGAAGAAAGAGGTCACTAAATATACTAACTATATTTTAAATGCTCCCAAAATTAGATATTCTGGCTTCATAATATACAGTTATCATAGATGTCTATGGATCCATACATATTACATTCATATGCAATAACTACTTCACTTTAGCTATACTTCAGATTTTTTTTTTTTATGTTAAAAATCAACAAATTTTTGCTTTAGGAGTCAAATTTTTACTTTATGTCACAGGGCTAACTTTTCTATCTTGGAGGAACTTGAACTTAAGACCAGTATACTCTTTCTTTCCCTTTCCGTTGTAGTAATGTTTAAACCTTTAACTCCCTATAATGGTTACCTTTGGTGAGCGGCTTTTTTTAATTGTCTCTTGATTTCTTTGGAGTCTTTCAATCAAGGGGATGGCAAAAGAGAAAGTCTTTCCTGTTCCTGTCCGTGCTTGAGCAATTAAATCTTTTCCTTCATATACAGGACCAAAGGTCTTAACTTGAATAGGAAAGAGATATGTTACCCCTCGACCTGTAAAATGAGATTTCATTGAAATATTTATGTAAGACTAACATTAGGGAAAAATATATTTATCTGAAAATGATAATCCTGATTCCTCAACGTACACCTAAAGATATACCACCTAGTGACATTTACAGTTATTCCTACTCCAAAGAGGAATTATTTTTAACAATTTGTCTGAACTTTTGACAAATACATATGATTCTTAGAGTTAAAAACAGGTCAGAATACCAAAAGGGACGTAGAAATAACTGCAATTAAAGAAGACCTTTTTCTCTATGCTTTCTATATTCTCCTTTCTGTCAGAAAAAGCAAAGCGTTTTATAAAATCTAGTTTTTAGATTTAGATTTTCAATTGCATATCCATTAAAATTCATAGTACCTTTCAGAAGCTTTATAGTCTCTTCAGAAATAGGGAAATTGGAGAAGGCTCCTTCTTTCTGTTCACGTGTTAGGGTCTGCCAAAATGAAATCAAAGTTCTAACTTATATAGTTCATATTTGACTAGGTATTTAGAATCTTTTACTCATTTACTGTTTTCAGTTTTACTAAAGAAGCTAACAAATCATCTTTAGTTAACACTTGCAAAAATTGTATAGATTAACTTACAAGATAAATTAGTGGGAAATTCTTTTAATTTCAAAAATATCCCTTTAAATAGCAAGCTTACTTAGTACATTTTCCCGTAACACATTTAAAAATGATCAAGTCACACATAAAACTCCCTTTAGAAATGCATCTACTACATAAATTAAAATATATTTCCATTTGACTAAGATATTACAAAAGAGCTATTTAATAATCTAAATCACATTCACAGATACAAACAATATTAGTTACAAGGGTTAACACCAGCCTATAAAATAGCCCTATAAAATATTATACAATGAGGAAAGTAAATTGTTTCCAAAAATGAAAGTTAAAAAATTGTTCTATGGCGCCAGCCAAGTGGCACATTGGTTAAGAGTTGGTTTGGGACACCAGCTCTGAGCAGCAGGGCCCCGGTTCGGATCCCACATTAGGGCCAATAACGCTGTGCCCTCTACAACTAAGATGGTGAACAACAGCTCGACCTGGAACTGGGCTGCCATGATTCACCGGCGATGGCATAGGCTGCACCCCCTGCTGCAGTGGGATGCCATAAGCTACTGTGAGTGGCTGGCAGCTGGCATGAGCAGCTGGCAGCCGGTGTGAGCTACCATGAGCGGCCATCCAGAGGCCGGTGACCAATCTGCCTCACCTGGGAAGAGCACAATGATAATGCCAACATGGGCCAGTGAAGCGACGTCCTCCACAACTAGACTGAAGAAAAGGACAGCAACTTGTCTGTTCCCCTTCCCCAATTCCCCAATGCTATTCCCCTCCCCCAATTCCCCAATAAAATCTTTAAAAAAAAAATTTGTTCTATGGCTCTAAAAAGCATTTTTTAGCTCATTAATACAAAGAAAAGTTCTTGTAAGCTTGAAAATTTCTTTAACATATATACAGATTAGCATAACATCATTTAACATCTTTTGAAAGCTTTGTGTACTAGTCAATGTGTATATAGAACAAAGACAAT